CTTGGTATGATTGTTTTAATGGGTAAATTTTACATATTCTAGATATAGTTAGCTTAAACTCTGAAATAATTATTTTCTTTAAAACGAGAAGGTATAGTATAGCAAAATACATCATTTTTAGTTTCCAAAAGTATTATTTTGACTCTGTCATTTGGATTTACATTACTTCATTGCATTTGAAATGAATTTAAGTGAATTAAATGTTTTAGCTTTTTAATCACCTATAGAAACTATGTTTACTAGGTAATATTTTGTTCATAACATAGAATTATGTGAATGTTATTATTTCTTTTAAAGTTTAAAAATGTTGAAAATAGTTTATATAACTTGTTCTACTGTTAAGACATGAAAGGAATAGTGAAGCACTGTCAATGGACTGTGCACCACTGAAGTGTTGTGCAGTTAAGAATTGTACTTTCATAGTACATTAACTTATCAAATGATTGCTAAAACACAGCAGCTGCACCGATAAAACACCACCAGAATCAGTAGTTAACATTCTGCCCGCACATTATGGCCATGACCAATTATTTATTTATTTTGAGAGAAACGATTTTTTTTCATTTTTAGAGCCCATTTCAAAAAAAGAATGCTATATAATTGAATATTCTCTGCCTTGTATCAAAGCAGGTTTCTGGGCCAATATCAATGCTTTCCTTTCTGGGGATCTGGAATGATGAAGCTTTTTTAATTGAAAATAATCAGTGACTAATCTCTATAAGATAAATGAGATAAATTGTTGTGTGTATTAAACTCCAGTTTTGGGTTTAGTCACATTTTGCTTCTTTAATTTTTGTACAGTGTTAATCCGAAGTTTCACTGTATTTCCTGAAGTAGTTCTTCCTTCTTTCATTAAAATAGCTGTTAGGTAGCATGGGATGCTACATCCCGAGTCATGCCTAGATATCTCTTTGTTTCTGACTCAGGCTTTCAAGTCTGTTCACAGCAAAATGTGGAGGCTTTCCCACATCATTGAGGCCTCAAACTTTGTTTTGATTATTTCCTTTAGTAGGAAATTTTCCTTACATATGGAAATGCAAGAGACATAATCTGGAGATCCTAAAATCTCACTAATTTATTATGTAATGCAGGTATTCCTGCCATGTTATTCCTCAGCTTCCACGTTTTGATGAGGTATTCTCAAGAGTTGCTCTAAGAGTTTCCAAGAATATTTTACAGCAGAACCAGCTGTCTAGATTTGCCTTTACACAGAGTGGTTTAATCAGCAGAGTTAAATCTCTATACTAAAAATGGAGTGCTCCTTGATATGACTTTGGCTTTCATATTAGAAGTGACAATATAGTTGGGGAGATGCATTAGAAATAAATTCTAAAAAGGGAAAGCCCACACCCATGTGCACTTTCAAGAATTAGATTCCAGACTGACTGAAGCTGGTTTATCTTAGAACTCAATGGACAAGTACCTTCCAGGTGGGGGAGCTAATTTCAAACCTGAATATCCTTTAAAGGAAATCATTACTGTGTATTCATCAGTTTAAGTCTTGAATAGGTTTGAATGATATCATGGTAGGAATTGTTATGATAATGATTTATTGAAACATTTTTCCCTGCCATGTCTAAGATCATTAGACTAAATCTTTTATCTCCTTTCATCACCGTGAAGAATTTAGTCTGTCAGCCCATACTAAAGAGTGCTTGTCATAATTTGAGAACACAGAAGTACTAACTAAATATAAATAAAATGCCTCCCTTTATCCAGTTTTAGAGGAAATTCTAGCCTTAGAATTGTGAAGGAGGCACTGGCTCTGTACATTCAATTTCCTCTTACATTTTTCAGTGTAGTAGCACTGCAGTGATAGTCTATAGATCACAAAATACCACACTCATACTGTAGTGGTTAAATGTTTTATCTTCTCCTCAAAATTTGTGATTCTTACTGAATAAAACTGGTTGCCTGAAATATTTATCAAGTTTTGTGGAGAATTTTGCCTCCAACACTTAAGACAGATTAGGGACTTCACAATTGTGGGAAACTCCATCACTGTCTTCACACAACAGCAAAGAAGCAAGTGTTACTACCACATCTTTATATGACTTTTTTTTTTTTTTTTTTTTTTTTTTGCGCTAGAGGTAGAACCCAGGGTCTTGCATATGCTACACAGTGCTATACCACTGGGATACTCTCCTCAGCCTGGTAGAAACATTTTTAAACTGATATGTATTTATATATACTTGTACTTAATACCCCCTCCAAGAATTCTGGCACTGAGACAAAGTAACTTGATATAAATTCTTTTGCCTGAGATCAATAGATATTGATAAGGAGATGATACGATAGACATATTTATCTCACAGATATTCATGGGACATTTCATTTTAAAAGAAAGAATCATTAGCACCTGCAAGAATCATCTAATAGGAACCACGCAAGGTTTAATATTGGCGAGGAGGTCTTTATTGTAGTAATAGGACCTAACTTCAGCATTGTATGAAGTCATCAGTGTTGGAGTCTAGATTCAAACGTTGTGTTCCCCTCCCCCACTGGCTTTCTGTATCTTTATATTCACATGAACCTTTTACCACATGCACTTATTTATTGGAAAAGACTTCCTGCTCATCTAATTTTATCCAGTATTGACAACGGGCTGTGGATTCTTCTCAAGAATCTGAAAGGATTTCTTGTTTGCCTGCAACTATCCAACTGGCCTTTTGTACGCCTACCACAGAGACTTCTTTGAGTAGGAGGTAGTGTCTGGACAAAAATTAAAGAAGCCTATTAGCTGTATGACAAACTCTGTTTCTGGAATATGTATTATAAAATAATAATCATAATAAAAACACAAATGAATAACATCTACTCATGTTTTTTTCTTTTGTAGTTGTAACTGCCCTTTGAGAGGCTAATTGATTTGCCTATAGACGTAAGGTGCAGGACTAGATTTAGGTCACACAAGTAGTTATCCTATACCCACTTAAAAAAGTAATGATAATGATAATAATCATAAGAATAAAAGCGACCATGATAAACCACAGTGGCTCATTTGTGAATCTTTAAAAATCAGAACTGGGTAGGAATTTTAACTGTATATAAAAATGGGCAACCAAAACATGTTTATTCATTTGTTTTGTGTATTTCTACATAGTGCTCTCTAAATAGTGCTTTTTTAAAAAAAAAAAAGATCTTAAACTCATTGATTGCATAGTTGAAGGAATATATGAGACAGTATTTAGCTGCTGTAGAATAATGGTAGCATGAGAACGGAAGAAGTTAACCTAAAGATTTTTTGTAAGCTATTTAAAAACAATGTTTTCAGGGATTTTCTGTTACAAAAGTAGTGAGTTGATTCTTAACACAAATAAAAGTAGCCATAGAGAGTGCTGTCTTTTAATATAAAGTACATTTTAAAGTAGAGATTAGAAAATTTAAATATTCATCGTGTGAGTTTAAAAAATGTTAGATGAGTCAACCCCTGAAGGCATATTAGATCAGATGTCATTTTTAGATTATTTTAATCATAATGAAAATGTAATAATCTATTTTAATGAAATCCAGAACACATACTAAATAAATGGTATTTTGAGATATGTTGATAAAGCAAAGTAAACCATTATCTGATAGTATGTCAGATTGTGTTTTTCAAGTTCTTTTGCATTAAGTTGAGTTATTTATTAAATGAAGAAATATTACAGTCCCTGAAAGAAAATTATTCCTCCTTTATCCTCATGCTTAAATAATGTTACATGCCAAAATATTATTTTTAAAATGATTGTTTTGTCATAAGTAAGAAATTTATTTTATACTAATTTTTGAATTTTTTCTACTAAACCATTGCAAAGACTGTCAACCTTCTAACAGTAGTATTAGTATTAATTTTTCTAACCATGCATGATTCATTTGACCCCACAGTAGCTATAGCTTGCTTGCCTTGTTTTTCCCTGAAATTCAGAAGTATGTAAGAGCACAATAAATATCTGCTCTACATACCAATATAACAAAACAACTTCAATCCTAATAAGTTGTTAACATTTTATTACTTACACATGAATTGTGGAGATACATACATATACAACTTCTCTGAACTTTCTCTGTTGAATGTGCACTATTGTTAAACTACTTGTTTTTTCCCTGCCTCCTCTTTGAAGAAGTCAATTAGGAATAATGGGAAACAAGGGGTAGGCAAAACATTGCAGTGCAGTGTTATTTCCATCTGTCTCGGAATATTTCAGCCAAAAGTTTATTTTGGGAAAAAAGCCATAATGTGTACGTACATACATACAAAACCACAAATACTTTGGCTGCAAATTATTCTGCAGTGTTGTTGCTGTGTTGTTGCCTGTGTCTGTTCCCCTGTGTACAGCTGCCACCCACCCATGCATGTGTTTGCAGATTCTTGTTTGTCTGCTTGTTCATGGATTAGCTCATCTTCCTCCTGGTTTAGGTTACATTTATTCAAGAGAACAAGACTGATGGGTATGTCTGTTGGCTGAAAAGTCCTTCCCCACTTTAGAGTCTTCTTTTAAACTACATCTTCTGCTGGCATATCTCAGTAGGATGAAGTGCTCACTCATCCGTCTGTCTCTTACATGTTACCTGGCTATATGTATATCCTTAATGGATCTTGGGAAACAATCTAATACTGTGCTCTTTCATTAGCAATGAATTTGGTTTAAATCATCTTTTGCGTTTTAGAATTAAATTGTCTTAGTTTTGCTCACCAGAGCAGGAACAAAGATATCGTAGTCTCTATGTCCACCTTGTCTCCTACTTTTTGGTGGAAAGAAAAGCTACAAGAAGCAGTGTTTAATCAATTAGAAAAGAAACTCTTCATATGAAATAGTGGGATATTTTTAAAGCCACATTTTGCAAGGTCCTGAACTGTGTATTTTTTTTTCTCCATTTTGCCTTTTCAGGGACAGCATACCCATTATTCTTGTTGGTCACTCTCTCTCCAGAGTTAATTTCTGGGCCATTGGTGACTGTACTAGCTATTATTTTAAAACTTTTTCTTAACTTCATTCTTTAAAAATGTAATATTGAAGGCACATAATATTGAAGATGACTCCAGGATGAACCCAGAGTTTGCAGATCGACTAAAACAGCTTGATAAAGAGGCATCTTACTACCGCGATGAGTGCAGCAAGGCCCAAGCAGAAGTAGACCGGTTGCTGGAGATCCTCAAGGAGGTAGAGAATGAAAAGAATGACAAGGACAAGAAGATTGCAGAGCTTGAAAGGTAAGTTTTGCAACTCCATGAATGGTGAGTGAACACTGAACGCTAGGTTGCCCAGTTCAGGTTGTGATTCATTGGAATTCATGTTTGTATTGCGAGCTAGAAATAAATTATGTGAGTCACATGCCTTGGTAAAAGGTATGTTGTATTTTCACAGGGCATGATGATGGTAACTAGCTTATATTTGAGTGATTATATGCTTCTTTGGTGTTCAAGAAAATAGTGATTGATTGTCTTGAGTGATGTCCATCATCCAGCATTTGTGCCAGCAAAGTCATACCAAAAGGTTGGCACATTTGTGATCTGAAACCTCAGATCTTTCCTGTCCAAGATGAGCATTTGTGGTTTAGGTTTGTCTTGATCAAAAGGATATGCTAGAATATGCTTAGTAATTTTTAAGTCAAGATGGAGGGGGTTCCTCTTTTTTGAGTACATCTGACACATCACGAAAACTCAACCTTGAGATTTATCTTTTTGGAAGATCTCATAAGCCATTGCAAAGTAGGTATGCTTGAATAGGGCTCACTTGATAACAAATTCTGTCTAAAGAGGATTATATTTGTGTTCTAAAGTATTTAGATTTTTAGATAAATTGTATCTATATTATATTTATGTATAATATGGTCTCTAAAATAAGCTTATTATCCATGATTTTTTAATACCTCATAAGGAAAGAATTTTCTGAATAATCTCCCATAATTCTATAACCTTCTAGGATTTCTCATTGGTTCAACAATAAGGCAGAATTTGTCTTTTCTAGATTTAGTCCATATGGAAAAGATCAGAAAATTTTGAATAAATCAGCAAATGTTTGCCAGCTCTGATCAAGACAACTGTGAAGCTCTAATGGACTTTAAGACATATAGAGTAGCTCTCTGTGATCTTACAGAAAGCTGATGGGCTTTCGTGAAAGACCTAGCCTCCAAGTTTGCATCTCCTGTATGCGCACTGTGTGGCTCTGTCTTGTTAGAAATGAATCTCTAATGACCTATTAAAATGTATCATGCTTTGCAAGTACCTACTTCCCATGTAAGATGGGATAATTGTATCATTAGGGACAATTGAATGCTAAAATAAATAAATTCTCAATATTAATTAGCTCTGTATTAAATAGATAGGTTAGTTCCCAATAAAACTTCAACATATCCAAATACAATACATGTAAATACAAATCAATTATAATTTCTTTTAACAATGTTAGCATTAGCTTGTTTATAATCTCATATAACTTTGATTCAGTATGATTAGTGTTAAGAATTAAGGCAAGGATTTCTTTTTTTTTTAAGTTTTTTTTTTTTTTTTTGGCTGAACCGGGGATTGAACTCAGGCCCTTGCACTTAGCAGGGAAGCGCTTATTCTACTGAGCCATCTCCCCAGCAGATTTCTTGTTTTGTAAGTTAACTATACAAATAAAAATCTTTTTAGGCTTTGTTTTAATTTTAAAGTGTGTACATATTCTGCCAGTGTTCTGGTTCTTAATAGCTGGAACACTTTTTACTTAAGGTTTATCTGTTTACATGGATCTTTGGAGTTATATTGAAGAACTGAAATCTTTACTTTTTTTTATAAAAAGCAGTCATGAAATCACAGAGCAATTATGACCATATCTTTTTTAGTAAAAAAAAAAAAAAGAAAAAAGAAAAGAAAGAAAGGAAAGAAAAGAAAAGAAACAAAATGAAACTGACAAAATGAATGGGTTTCTGGAGATTGATCCTTGAAGGACCGGAAAGATGGAAAACTAGAAATGAGAAGCATCAGAAAGATGAAAGACTATATACAGCTAGTCTACTGCTTTGAGAAGCAGTGAGCCTTATGGCACTTGTCCTACATCATAATACAAATAATTTTAGTGATAATAATCACAATCACCAGAATAGAGTTTGTATATTTTATGCTCACTGTGTTCTAGTTCCTCTGCTAAACTTTTGACCTGTAATATGTTCTGCCATTTGACCTTACCTACAATGCAGAAATAACATTACTATGATGCTTTATAAATAAGAAGCTACAGCGTATGCAGATGAAGTAACTTTCTTAAGGTGGCAGACATCCCAAGAACCAGAGTAGAGATTTTGAGCCCACGATTGACAGAGGAGCTGCTGAGAATGATCCCTTTCACTAACATGGAGAAACTAGGCCAGTACCAAATAGGCATATGGTACCAAAGAGCCACAGAGCCAGCCCAGATCTCTTCCTGAATAGGATTCATGGCCGGGCTAGGAAGAGATTTGCCTCTTATTTATTAGCTTTTATGAGGAATTTTTTTTTCCACTGAACCAGCTCCCCAGAACTGTAATTGAAAATTAGGATCAGCTACTATAAAAATATACATACAAATAGCTTAATTGTCTAGTTGGACAAACAGGCTTTAGCTAGACACTTTTGCCATTAAATCATCACAAATATTCACAGTTTTATTTCTTCAATATGGAATCCATTAAAGCAGCAGTGATTTTATAGGCATTTATCTTTATGTACTTTCTGCACATTTGCTTTATCTCTGCCTTTGCCTCTCCCCAAAGCTGATGCCTCCCAGGCACTGTAATTCATAAAATGTGTGGTGGGACTTGACTCCATCCCAGGCCTCTGCCTGCCTGTGTCTTGGGCCCAGCAGCACAACGTAGTCTGGGAAATGTCTGTGACCCAGTCCAGACCCCTGAGGAGGTGAGGCTGGTGATCCAGAAGGGAATTTTCTTGGGAAACGGAGGGCTCAGCCTGGGCTGGCGTTATGAAGCAGTATCTTCTGGGCTACATGTGGATTCTGACCAAAACATCTTCCTTGAGTTGTCAGGCAGCCTTTTTCCACATTGGGCGGTATCTCCATTTGCTGGCTTAAACTGCAAAATTTATACTTCATAATATTGGGACCTACGATTTCTTAGCAGTATGACATATATCTCCATTTTGAAGTCATGGAGAAACTCTTACCATTAAGTTTGTGATTTTGAAAATCTAAATTTTGAAGTAAATTTGTGATCTCTGGCTTGTGATATGACCTACCAGAGTGAAAAGGCCTTTTTGAAAAAGCAATTATATTCTAAAATATGCCAGAACTTTATTCTTATGCAATGAAAGGTACGGGTTTAGGAGTAACTTGGATACCCCTAACACTGTTATGCTTTACTCTCAGAGAGCAGTTTATGTTTGCTTTCTGTTCTGCTAATTTTCCCAGTTTTTATTTTCTGTAGCTTGAATTGTCCAAACAACATGTGGCTGGCATTTACACAATGCATTTTTTTTTTTTTTCCAGAACTGGGGATTGAACTCAGGCCCTTGCGCTTGCCAGGCAAGCACTTATTCTATTGAGCTATCTCCCCGGCCCCTACACAATGCACTTACCCCTCACATTCCACATGAATGATGTTTTTCATCAGCCCTTAAAGACCTTGCTCTTCAAGGGGCATATTGCTGTAATGTGGCTGTCATGTCCTTCTGCCTGCAAACTCTTGCACTGGATGCCAGTGGCCCAGCTAGCAGCTTTTGCCTTGGCCTGTTGGCTGCTCTTACGAATTGGCAACAAGAAAGATAGTGGGCCTTGAGCAAGCCCTTGAATTGGTCAAAATCAGGCTTTCTTCCATCAACAATGCCGGATATCGTATTTGCTGCACAAATAGCTAATTATACCTTAAAGGCAGTAAAATATATGGCACTTTTGTGACAGTGCCCATGAAATTCTTCTACTTTTATTTGAATTTTCAAAATTAATCCTTGATGCCTTAAGGGGAAAAGACAATGACAGAGTCTATCAAACAGGATTTACTGCCACTGGATTTCTTGTATCCCACCCACGAGACCATATCATTCTGGTGACCTTTCATGTAATTATCTTAAATCTCTTAGGACATTTGCTAGTGTTTGTCCACAGAATAGGAAACATTTAAACTGAGCCTTTAGTCACATCTCTCCCCTCTGTGGAGGTGAGCTTTGGGTCCTGGGGTGCTACTCTTAAGACAACATCAGAATAGATAACAAGATACCACTTAATTGTCTGGATGGAGGACTAGTGCTACCAGACATTTGAACCTTGAGAAACGACTTTTAGTTTCCTAACAGAAATTTATCTAATATTGAGCAAAAAGCTATTGCTTTTCCTTCTAATCCACTCAAATAATGTGCTGATATAATTTCCTTGGTTTCTTTCAGAAGATTTAAAACTTAAGCTTTATTATTATTGTTTATAAAGTATCATAATATGTCCTAGAAATTTTATTGGGCATGCAAAAACTTGATAGCAGTTCTATTTCTTTTGACACATACTCTTCTCAGTGAGCAATTTTGACTTATGTGTATTAATTTATTTGAAGGGAATTCTTTAAGACAAGCAGCAGGTGGCTGTACATCATACCTTGCAGCCATTTGGGGTGGATCCCAGATGTCATGGATACCTTGAGAATTTGATGAAAATTAGGAACCCTTGAAAAGGCAACTGAATCTTAAATGTTTGCATACTTCTGCAGTATGGGATTCCCTAAAACTTGGCCACAGACCTTAGCTCGATTATCTCTGATCCAGAAGGATTTCAAATGGCAGCTGGAACTAGTGTTGAGGAAGTCTTCCCAATGGCCATTGCCTGAACTAACACATTTTTTTGATCATCTGTATATTTATGATCATGGAGCACTCTGTAGGAGCAAGGAACTAGCAAATCAATCCTTTCATCATGTGTTTAATTTTGAATTTTCTCTAATTTTTATCATTATAGTCAACATTGAAGTCATTGAAATGTTCTAGGCTTTATCCTGGGGTTTATTTTGTTTTATTTTTTCTTCCTATGTGAAATGCTTAAAAAGCTTCCTAATTGTGTGGAATGGTGGGTCCCACTGAGTGTATAGCTGATAAAGTACTTTGTTTATCCACTTTGTTTTTGTAAAAGGTTCTTAATAGGTTAAAAAAATGATCTCTGTTATGTGTTCCTATAGTAGTCTAGAAGAAGATGATCCAAATTTTTTTTCTTCTAATATTTGCTTGGCATGCTGTTTTGACTGATTAAAGCGGCATGTTAGATGTCTTTGTACTAATAAGTTAACAGGCATGTGGTTCTTCTCAAGGTCAAGTTGGAACCTCATTTTCACAACTGAACAACTCTGCTTTTAGCTTTGGAAGTTGCTGTTCCCTGGCTTAGGAGGCTGATAGGCAGGTGGTGCCCCACTCACAGCCCTCCCCACACAGCCTTTGATCATTACTACGTCCAATGCTCTGTGAGCGTCAAAACTGGAAATCTTTGAACTGAATGCCAAATTGCTGAGCCCTTTTTGGTTTCCAGGGAAGAAGGAAAAATATCTCGTAGACCATCACCATCCAACTCACTGGTTCAAATAAAAATCTATCTGACTGGTGCTTAGTGCCATGTCTGATATCTTAGTAATTTCAATTTCAGTTTATTGAATAATAAAATTTTATATGCAAACAGATAGGAGCTTTCTCCAAATGAATACTTTCAGCAAAAGGCAAATACTGTCACCTCTGGTTCACATGATTGTTTGCTATGATTATGTGTTTGAAAGCAGATACCAGTTTCTGATGTATGATGTTTGATATAACAACTTACAATGTGCACCCAGGACTTTTTGAGGATAGTATCGGTTAAAAATTGCTTTACTGACCTTCATTTGGTTATAAAGCCTGCTAATACAACATCTGTTTGGCTGTGTTTAAAACTAATGCATTTCCTTCCTTTTATTCTCTTTTGCTATCCCTTTTCCTTTCTGCTTATCCTCCAAATCGCTGCTTTCACCCTTGCTCCAATCAGCTTGACGCTCAGGTCAGTACTTTTAGTTTTTCTTCTAACTGCCTTTCCCTCCTAAGCTCAATTTATTGCTTGCACTTTGTTTAACAACACATTTCCTAAATGGTTTTCCTCTGATCACTACATTTTTTTCCCATTTCATTCCATGCGTAGCGAAGGTGTACTTTATAGGTAGGCTGTATAGGTGGGAAAAGGCAAAGAAGAAGAAGAAGGAAATAAAATCACTGTGGAACTATTTGATAAAACCTGTTTCTGGATTATAAACTTGGGAAAATAAATTATTGTGATAATTCCCTAATACACTTCTCCAGAGCAGCTCACAAAATTGACTGAATGATGAAACAGCATGGGGCTGTGAAGAAAACAAATGCAAGATGCTGAATTTGGAGAACAAAAGATCTCTCCATGACACAATTTAAAAGATTAATAGTGTAAACCCGTTCAGAATTTGCGCTTAATAAATCACTTTGTTTTGAAAGATTTACAATACTTTTTTAAAGTCACTTTTGAAAATTATCAGTGGGTTAGTAACATATTGTATACATATGGTATTTCCTGTCATTGTTTTGGATTTAACTTTGTACATTTATTTTTATTAGTCAAAAGACATACTTTAATTATTCAGGGCTCAGCATTCAGAACCAAGTGTAAAACTAGATTCCCTGTTGACTATGTGTGCAATATTGAGCATCCTGGATTTGATTTCTAATATGGAACTCCTGTTAATAATTTCTTCTTTCTCAAGGAAGACTTACCTTTCTGTACATAGTAAAAAGTAATGATTTCTTTATCATTCAGTTCATGAATTTACTAAAGAATGTTCACTGGTTGATTTAAAGCTGTCTAGGTATTTAAAAAGAAAGTGTTGAATTATTAGTCACACCCATTGCTCTTTAGTGATGAACCATATTATGTTTTATTCAGAGTCTGAGTCCTTTATTTTATATCATTCTTTAACCCCTAGAACTATGCTTTTACTGTAGTAGCAAATAATTTTAAAATCCTGGTCAGATGAGTAGTTGTGTCCCATCTCCAGCTTCCAATGCTGGCGGCTCTCACTCCTTCACTAGGCTTTGCTATTCCCATGGGAACTACTTGGAGCTCATTACACTGAAGGCAGCCCCACTTTCATGGATCTCAACAGAGATCCATTCAGAGATTACCAAAAAGTTAATGAGTGTTAATTCATCCCCTGGCATAGACCTAATCTGGTACAGAAACCCAGACATCATAATGGGAAGTGGGCAGGAGGCTTGGCCATATGGCACCCAAGCCATTTCCTCCAAGTTTTGGATCTACTAAGTTAATGAAGCTTTAAGCTTTCTTCCTTGCCTTTCCTATTTGCTGTCTTTCTCATTTCACCTTTCTTTTGCTGCCCCTCATGTGTACCTGTTGATAGTAAAGCCATTGTGACAGTGGTCCTTTTTTGCTCTTATACCTCAGGTCTCCTGAGTAGTCGTTCAGTTTTTCATCCACATTCTGCTGTGCTTTGTCCATCAGAAACTATATTGTATGGTTCCTCATTTTCCCCTTTTAATGGTTAACAAACATGAGCTCTGAATATCTGAGATAGGGTGCAAAGTTAGAGCTGGGCTGAGTTTTGAGTAAGCAGTGGATCTGGAGAAAGGGCAGGATGTATTAATTTGGTTTGATAAAAATGTACTTGCCAAATCTAGTTGAATAAATTGTAAAGCTCAAATTAGAGTTCATATCATTGCAATATCATTTAACCTATTGCTACAAGTGAACATATTAGAGAAAACCTACAATTTTTTGAGTAATCTCTGGTTATGTCATTACTGATGCTTAGATGCTTGAAAGCTTTTGTGAGCTTTGATAAATTTCCACAGTTCACAATATATGTTTTTCCAACTACATCTCAGTTTACCAGTTAAAATAAAGTAAAATATAACAATTGAGTTGAATGTAAGATCTCTAGGTCATGTGCTTTCTTCATGTGGCTTTCATTTGCAATACATATATGTGTACATACATGCATATTTTTTTCTGCACATCATGGATTTTAGAAAAATCATGTCTGATGTTTCGTACTACAGCAGTTTGTGGTCTGCCCTTACAGACTTCCACTTCTCAACATTCCTGTGTGTTTTGTATTGCATGGGAGGTTCTCCTTCTAACTGCTGTTTTAGTGACCTCGTTTCCTTTCCCAACTCTATGCAGATTCTCAAGCTTAAGTACAGATAGACAGGTATTAAGTATTGGGCTTGGTAAAATGCAAACTGTTCAGGTCTCCAGTAATTTCACTTCTGTCAGGAATCTCTCTAAGTACAAAGCAGTGGGAAGCTGGAGAGATTCGTGTGTTGTGCCCAGGGTAGGGTTTGTATGAAGTTTATTCATTTCTAGGAACTATTTGTGAGATTAGCATGTGACTTATGATAGATGAGGTTATCTTGATAAATGTGTGTAGGAACTGACTAGAAAACAAAAAGATAGCCTTTGGGATTCGGTTCAAAATCCTACCAGAGAGCCAAGCAAGTAAAATCAGAAGGCTTGGGTCTTTCCTTGGCTTTTCCATCCCCCAGCTTGCTTTGGATCCTGAATCAGCCATTTCCTTGTTTGGGCCTCAATGTGTCCCCTTTTGGAGAGAAGGGTGCTGTCTTTGAATGGCACTTCTGGGGTCCTCTGGGAGTGTGAGATCATGTGTCTGACAGCGGCTGTTGGTGGTGGGCCTGGGCTACTCCCACAAGCAAGCTCCAGTGATGGCTGGCACCTGACAGCAGGGGTGAGCTCATTGTTACGGAGTCACTTCAAACACTTCTACCAAAATAAACTCCCCAGAGCTGGCACTGTGCTCTCAATTCCTCATTGTTCTAGCAAAACATGAAGTAACTCCCCATTTAGGCAATGGAGGACAAAAAAATACTGAAAAACACCCTTCCCAGAGCATACTGTTACTCCCATAAGTTCCCCAGGTCCGTTCCATGCTCCATTTCTTCCAAAAATGTATAGTGAGTACCTATTAAGTGTTAAGCTGGGTACTGTGTGCTGTTTTGGCATTTCTAAAGAATTGCTGATGAAAAATGAAACTAATTAAGAAACCCTGTGTGTTAGAGCTGGCCAGATAGCTCCGTGGATTAAAGCTCCTGCTTAGGCAGACACAGGGGCTGGGATTTGATCCCTAGCCTGAGGTGCCGGCCCCACCCCCAGGGCACACTGCTGAGAGGGGGATTGAGACTGGGTGTGGTAGCAGGCACCTGTAATCCCAGCACTTGGGAGGCTGAAAATAGGAGGATCACTACAAGTCCAATCTGTGTAGTGAGACCCTGTAGACCCTGTACTAAATTTAAAAAAAAGAAAAAAGAAACCCTGTGTATGACAATCTTTTTTATGTTCATGATGCAAGTTGATAATAATAAAAGTAATAGTAATAATAAGAAGAAATAATAACAGGAGCATTGATAATATAATTGAGCATTAACTGAGTGCCAGGGCTGAATTGGTCACTTTTTCCCAGTATTTACTTCTTATAACAATCATATGAGATTGAACTGACATTTCTTCCATGGTAAAGAAAAGAAAACTGGAGTTTGTAAAATTTGAATATTGTGCTCTGGTTAGTACAGATAGTAAATAAAGGCACTGTTTTCCCCTCAGATCAATCCTTTCTGATTTGTAAATTGAATTTTTTTTTACCACTTCTACTCCACTTACATAGTAAAAGCTCAGAAAAGGCCTGTAGTAAAGAATCCTGTTCAATTTTATTCAAGCTACAGTTTCTCAGATGGGTATTTGTTCATAGACCATAATCCTTGAGCACCAGGGGAAAACTGTCCCAGCTGTTGTGCAGCCATTTCTTAGGTTCATTTCTGTACTCTCTCCCCAATGTTCCTATGACAACCCTTTCCCTCAAGTGCCAGGTTAGATATTACCTCTTCCAGAGGCATCTACTGGGCCTGTGGGCTTGGACTCTAGCTCTATGCCATCCTAGACATGCCAGCCAGTCTTGCCCTTGGATGTTGGTGAATGGATGAGTGCCGAGAAGAGTTTCCATTAGGTTCATCTCACCCCTCCTGTCCTTTTCTGGGCCCCCAAGGAGAGTTGTGCTGGGGGCTTTTTCTAGGACTAGACAGCATACCTCCAGTGGACACCATACCTAGCTTCATGCATGTGGCCCTAAAAAAACGAGGTGGTAGGTTTTCTATCATGTCAGATGGATAGTTCAAGAAAAAGAAAAGCACAAAGACAAAGGAAAAGATCCTCATCTGAACTACTTTTCTTTCCTTCTCTTATTTTTGTTTCTCTTTTCTGTCATTTTCCTGCAAGCCTTCCTTTCTCCACCTTTCTCTTCCCTTTCTTCCTAGAGTGTTCATTGAAATCCTTCTTCTTGGGAGGCTATGTGCTCAGGGTTGGGGAGATAACAGTACAACAAACACAATCCCTCCTCTCACTGATTTCTAGACCTGTGCTTTCTGTAAGGAAGTATTTGGTTACTAAGAAAAATAATTTGTTCTATTTTTATTAATAAGTGAAACACAATGGATATCAGGTCACTTCCCTCTTTTATCTTGATAGGGTTAAAGGAGCTACGTACAAGTCACAAAAATTATTTTCTTCTTTAAAGCTGCCTTATAACTAATGCTGACATTTCTGGTGAAGTGTCAGAAAATTTTATGCCCAAGCAAAACTGGTAGAAAGCCAGAAATTGGTTGATTTTTGCTTTGGGTGCAAATATATAATTGGGAATGGAAAAATTGTTTTCCCTGATTTACAACTCCTAAAAACATAAGTGGGGTCTATATTTAGAAATGGTTATGCACCTTTGAGGTATAGCCAGGGGTGGGTGCTTCCACTTTTCCAGTCTTTTTGCTGCGTCTGTTCTGATTTACAGAACCTGGGTTTTTTGCTCTTTTTTTTTTTTTTAACTTTTAGCCTTTTGCTTGAATTACTGCTCCAGTGGTCTGTCCATGCCATCAAAAATGGGGGAAGAGTCCAAGAACACAACCTGCATAGTTAAAATATTTTGCTATTTTGTATGTTTCTGAGTCTTCTCTTAA